AACGACACACAACAACACAATACACAGTCACACATACACACACACACACGTACACACACATACATACACACACTCACATATATATATATATACATATATATATATATATATATATATAAATATATATATATATCATACATCACCTTTATAGACCTGAAGAGACATATGGTGGTGGTTGTATTTTATATATCTACTTTCATAGATATGTTTCTGAAGATGTATAAGTATGCAGTCTGGCACTTTGTGTGTGTGGGGTTTAGGCGATAGAATAGAGGAGCGCGGCAACTTGGATGGGTTGGAAATTGTAGTCGTACGTGTGATGAATAACTCGATTAGAACTTGTACTTCTTCGATATCTCGATCTCTAAGGCGCTTGTAGTTTATCATGTTTGTTCTTTAGATCTCACGAACTTGTTCGCATGGATCAGAACGTATCGTGAACTGGAAATGGGACTTCACTGTCTAATATGAATTCTACGTTTATGCCTCGAAACAGTGCCTCAAAACCGAAGAAAACTGTCGCAAAGAAAAAAGCCCCACCTAAGAAACAAAAACCTACAGCCGAGTTAACAGAAGAACAAAAAGAATTGCTGCAGCAACAAAAGGAAGCGAAAAGGTATGTATATCCAAAATGAAAAGTAATGACTACATTACTGTGTATCTGTGAAGTAAAATGAGGAATTCCGCGACGCCCTGTGCATTCTTCGCATTGTCATTTCTTCCGTGTACGCCTACAATATGGCGTGCGCCTCTGAGAAGTGCTACATCCTTTAATTTTTGATTGCGACAAGCTGATTTGCATTATGACATATCTGGGAGTCATCGATCGGACGGAGACAATGCGACTAGTAACACATCTAATCACTACACACAGGCGAGTTCAGCAAGCATGCAAGCTTGTAATATTTACAACGGCAAAGAAAACATCCATGAATACCACGGATGTATCAAAACTTGTAAGCAAAAGTATTCGCAATCTAATATCCGCCGGGCATTGTCACGATATACTTAAGAAGGCTTCAAGTCACTTGGCAGCCAAGTACGTGCACGTGCTTCCCGGCCGCATACAACAGTATATCCAATCCACCGTAGGATCTGATATGGAAGGTATGGAGCGGACTTGGAGATTAGATACAATTCCGACTCGCTAGCGGTGATGTAGCCTTATGCCATACTACTAGTTCCTGTGAATGATTTGCTGTCTTTGTCCGTGAATATACGACAAGCGATAAATGCGTAATCATTATCTAACCTCCACACGTGTGCCTACATTGCAGCCCTGGGAATACTCAAAGGTTTAGATTCGCTCACGCCAACTCTGTACATCAACTTTCCTGCCGGAAGGCTGAAGCTATTCGGCGCCCTGGCTATGCTTCAAAATAATTATCTGGTAGCGCAATTTAATAAGCATAACGTGAGTGTCGGTGACGCCATTGATTCGCTAGTTGTTTATTCTGAGTGCTGTTGGGTGGGAACTGCCGAGGAAAATGCGGACGAGAAGCCCTTGCCTATGCCGGAAAGCATCGTGAAGGTGTGCCTCGTTGCTGTGCGCATACTTTACGAGTTTATACGGACAATGTTATGTTTTTGGCATTTCAACGCCGATTTCCGTATAGAAGCCTTTCTTGCATACGTGTTTGTATTCTGATCACTCATATTTCGGTACATTAAAGTGTATATACTTACATTTTAGATTAGTGTGGGTGGGAAGGCAGCACACCCAGTGTATCTCAATACGCGTGTATATGCGTACGATAGGTAGAAATCCTATTCAACGATTGATACTAGCATGAAAACCCTGTGTAGCTACAGTGATACCTCAAAAATCTATTTAACATTTCTGGTCCTCGATCGGTGTGCGTCGCTACATTGTGACCTGGTAGATGCTTGAACCTGCAGCTGCACTATCAGACGAAAATCTGAAAACCCAAACGGAGCGACCGCTGGTGGTGAGTGACGACAACACCGACACTGAAGAGCCATCAGCAATCTTAATTTCAGATGAAGGTAGAGCCATATACATATGCAAGTTTGATGGTCTCCTTCCGATCTATCCTTAGTTTTGCGCACGTGTTCTCGTCTACGTCTGTCTTATTGATCCAATATGCTCTCGAATGCGTCCTTGCTGGGTCTGTCGTGCAGTGTAGTATGCTGTGTGGTGATATCGGGTACTTTATAGTAGATGGAAGGAGGATACTGAAACAATATCGTTGTCTCGGACGCTTTGTGAGGCATACACAAGAGAGTACTACAGCAAATTCCGAAGGATATCAGCGTATGAACATAACATTTTCTACTTCTCCTCTGCGGCCATCTAATCTAATTCAATTTAATTTATCATATCGCAGACAAGGTGACGAATGGGTCAGTTTCCGCGCATCGACCGCGTCGACGCGTAGCTGAAGGTTGTTGTCCTTGAAAGACTGTTAAATGTGTTCTTTATGTAGTATACAAAAAGAAATGGATATATTAGTATATTCATATGGGTATAGACTACAAGTTTATATGTGTATGCATGTGTCTATAAAGGTATGATTGTATTTTAATATTTACAAGGCTCTATGTATACACATATCCGTGTGTATATTTACACTTTTCGAATATCCAAATATCGCGCCCTGCAATCGATACACATCAATTTGCACTTATACTTTTTACAGTTATTTATCCCTACTAACATGTGCTTGATTTAGTGTACTTCGCCAGTGCTAATGAAAATGTCTCACAATTGACATGTACATATATGCATATCGACTTTAAGTGCAATCACAGTACATCATATCTACTGAGCATTTATTTTATATCTGCCCCCATTTTCATGATCATTTCTATGTTTATGTTAATTCATACAATAGTGCAGTGTTGTCTCATTTCACAGTAACCAGCAGTCAGTTAACATGAATTCTAATTATTTATACATATATTCTTCTCGTACAGTGTCCTATGCAGATATGGATATCGAGAAGGGCTCATCGGGCGACGCACAGAGCGATTCTGAGAACGAAATCCGTCCGAGTGGGCCTAGGTATGTCATTGGTAAGAAATCGCCCCTGAAGCCGACAGACGAACCAAAACCACAGTCGAAAAAGTCGCTACTTGAAGGATTACCGCGGACTGGCAACGTTGTTAGCAAGACAAAGGTGAGCGAGAAATCGGAGAGTGACAGCGACAACGAGAGTGGGGAGGATGTTGATGATGAAGACGAAGAGCCGGAATACATACCAAAACCCACGTCGAGAGGTAAGCGTACACTGCCCGCGGATAGCGAATCGGACGCTGAGACTGAATATGTGCCAAGGAAGACTGCACGCACTAGTCAGGTATATGGATACATTTTCTCGTTTTGAAGGACTCTGGGATATTCTTCCTGCTATTATCATAGGTCGAACGTTGTGTGCACAGGCCGCAATTGCTTTTTGCGATTCCATGAGAAGAATAGATTTCGTTTGGTGATTCATGTTGCATGTGCACTGTAGAAGTTTCTATGCTCGCTCTACTTCTTTTGACCGGTGTTGCTTTCCTTTGCTGTCTTCAGACCAAGAGGAAAGCTACCAACGGTACTACGAATAATGAGGACACCAACAGCCCGCCAGCTCCCAAGCAATCTCCACGTAAGGCTGCGAACACAAAAAAGGTTCAAGCGTCCAAGAGCCAAAGCGTTCTAGCAAAGAACGAACCAAACAGTAGAAAAATGAAACAAGGAACGTTGACCAGCATGATACAAAGTGAGTGTCTTATTGGAAAATTGATTGTGTGTGAGTTTGCAAACAATGAGAGATGTACATCGTTGAAAATGTTTGGATAGCTACAAGCGATGTCCGTCATTTTTAGATCCCTGAAGTTTAGAACATAGTTATACTGTTTTTGTTCGTTAATCGTGAAGACAAATAGAAAACCCTAGTAGGCTCTGCGTTGAAGTTAAGTTGTTACTGGGCTAGCTGGGTTTACAAGACTTATCAACAGCCTTCATGGTCTTCATTTTAAATCGCACTCCGTAGATTCAACTGCGAACCCCAAATCAAGTGAGAATGCGCAGTCAAGGACAAGTGCGAAGAAGGCAACAAGTAAACGGAGCTCAGAATTCATCGAGGTGCGATATCACAAGATATTGATATGGTTGATGATTTTTAGCGCACATGAGCGGTGTTTTTAAACAGAAAATTCCCAAAAGCCTTTCACAAGCAATGTGAAATACTTAGTATAATGTTCATGATTTGGTTTAGACTACCATTCGTAAGTTTCCGGAAATCGTTAAACACGGCAGCTCTTCAATATAACTCTCATTCAATGTACTTTCTCACGCAGATCGATGTCGATAGTGACGATCCGTTCTCACTGGACGTGAAAGTCATATCAACGCAAAGCCCATTCAAAAAGACACCTTTCGATGTTTGAAGGTTTGGCATATCATGATATCTCCGAAATGTTGGGAATTAGTCATATCGACGAACTCATCAGTAGACTTGATTGCCAGCGAAGTAACAGATAATGGGAAAGTAGACGGACGAAAACACGCCCGGAGGTACTCTACGACGCTATTTACAAAATATTCCGCAGATGGCACATCAGGATTCTAATGGAGTTGCATACGATCGTCGGATATACATAAGATCGTTGGATATGATCTATACTTAATGATTGACTTTTATTTTATATTTTACTCAGTGTAAATGGTCTTACACGCTATAAAACTTGAGAACAACAAACTAGCTGATGCTGCCTGCAGACAACTGCTTCTTCTTGCGCTCTAGGCGTCTGGGGTACGAACTACCTTAACTAGCGTATACAACTATAAAATAGTGTCACATAATAATTTGAATTATATTGTCCCTTGCAAACCTCTTCTGAGTGTACATGCCATCTCCTAATAATAAACCTGCGATGCCAATACCGCGTGGTGCGTAACCGTCGGGCTACACGATGTCGCAGCCTTCTAAATTGAACAGATGATTCGAACCAGCACCTCATTCTCTGTACTGCGTTTTGACTAAGTTTGCATAATAGCCATTCAACGCCAATAGTTGCGAGTGCGTGCCACTCTCTACAATGACTCCGTCCTTCACAAATGCAATCACATCGGCATTCTGGATGGTCGATAACCTGTGTGCGATCGAGATGGTCGTACGGCCGACAGAAGCACTGTCTAACGCCGCCTGAACTAACCGCTCGCTTTGCGAATCCAAAGCCGAGGTAGCTTCATCTAGCAGCAGAATCTTTGGGTCTCGTACCAGCGCACGAGCGATAGCGATACGTTGCCTTTGTCCTCCAGAGAGCTGACTTCCCCTGTCGCCGACATCACAATCGTAACCGCCGGGTAGATCCATGATGAAATCGTGAGCATTGGCTAGTTTGGCAGCCTTAATGATCATCTCCTCGGTCACAGGTACATCTCTAGTCTTGATACGTCCGTACGCAATGTTGTTTCGTACGGATGTTCTGAATAGATCAGGCTCCTGGTTGACAAGACCGATCTGATCACGCAGCGATCCGATATTGATTGATGTGATGTCTTGTCCGTCCAATGAGATTGACCCTCCCAGAAGCGTGTAGAAGCGCTCAGAAAGAGCAATCAGGGTAGATTTTCCGCACTAAGATTCGAAGGAAAGAAAAAGGGCGAGAGATGAGTACAGGGGCATAAAAGATGGCATCGATTTTTTATGTAGAGGGCTGAAAACAGTTCGAATCTATACAAGAAACCCAAAAAAAAAGAGTCTCGAATCGCAGTAAACTTACCCCACTTTGTCCGACCAAAGCTAGCGACTTTCCTGATCCAATGGACACATTCAGCTTCTTCAACACCTGCACTTCCTGACGTGTAGGATATGCAAACTCCAAATCCTTGAATTCAAGGTTGCCTTCGACATGATCAACAATCGTTCCTTCGGTACTAGACGAGTCCACCTCAGGCACACGGTCTATGAGTCTGAATACCTTCGATGCAGAGATCTTAGCCTTGCCCGCGTCAGGCATCATCGCTGACACTTGCCCCAGCGTCATAGCTCCGAATATGATACCATTAATAGCGGTCAACATCTCCTGGAAGTCGCACTTGCCATCATCCACAAGTGTGGATCCATAGTAGAAAGACACAGCCCAGATTGCAAACATAAAGAACTCGGAAAACCCGAATCCTATGCCAGTTACATGCGAAGCCTTGATAGTAGATTTGTATGGCGCCATAAGCTCGTCCCCATATCTATCCAGTTGTTCGTCTTGTGCGTTGATCGCCAGAACAGTTCGAATGGAATCCACAGTCTCGGTTGCCACACTCCCAGCCCTCTCAAACATTTTGTTTCCATCTTTCTGAAAGCCGGTCATGGCCCTCATTTGAAGAGCTCCCGAGACAACTACTGCTGGTACCTATAAGCACAGAATCCCAAAACCCGACAGGTTAGCACTATAGGATTGATACTGAGGACACGCTATTTAATTGAATGTACCTTCTAATTTTATCTGACACATAATGAAAGAAGTATATACTCGTGTAGTGACACATCAAGGTTGACTTACCATTGCGAGCACCACAGCCGCTAGCAGGGGACATGATACAAACGCTATTGTCAGACCAAAAGCCATAGTCCCAATAACAGTCATCACCGAGCCTAGTTGGCTACCAGTGATGGCTTGCACATCGGCTGCTTCGGTGCTCAGTCGTGCAGAAAGCACCCCCACAGAATTCTCGGATTTGTCGAAAAACCCTACTTCTTGTCGTAGTAGTGCTTTGAACGAAGCTTCTCGCACGCGCATTGTGAGAGCTTCTCCAGACATCGCAAGGGGTGTGATGGCCAACCACTGCAACACAAGGAAATGTAAGGAGCGTAAGTGAAGTTTTGTGACAAGCAACTGCAAGCGAGAGCGCATTGCGGCACTGAAATATCGAGCGCCACGGTCCAAGCAACAATATACGGCTACTTAGAATCAAAACAGACCACATTCCGAGCGCCGAGGGACGAACCAGAAGAACATACCTGTGCAAAAAATGCAAAAACAGCCAGGCAGACGAACATGATTGTGAGAAAGTCCACTTCGTCTTGATCAGACTCCAACATCGCGTTAATTATCCGAGAAAAGACTACCGCAAATCCTGGCCACAGAAACCCTATTCCAGCCGCTCCTATCAGACCCAAGACAATGAGTTTCCACTCACCAACATTCATCTTGAATGCTCGGACAACTACACCATCATCGACAACCTTGTCCGTATCGCCGTCTACTAGTTCTCGAAGCTTAGCAGCGTCAGTCTCCTCCTTCAATCTCTGAATCTCGGCGCGCTATTTCAAATTTGAAACAATGATGGATGGCATGAGCAAAAGTACAGGCTAAAATACCTCGCAACTGGATGGGGATAGGATTAAGGTCACTCGATGTTGTAATCGGTAACTTCTACTATTAGAAATTCAGACTGTTGAACAATTATCTCGTATCTGAAATTCTTAGAATGTGAAAAGCTTCGAACCAATGGCAAAAGGAAACTTAGATGTGCCAAATTACCTTCACAGATGACATTTTCGATGATTTTCTCGATGATTTTCTAGAATGCTTTTTGGACACGTGTTTCGTATTTTGATAAGCAGTAGCTTCGTCATCAGAAGAGCAGTCATCGCTTGAATCTCCGTTCATGAGCTGCAACTGAACGAAATCGAAGTATTTCCCTGTGGCGTGTATAAGGCAAAATCGAGAACGTAAGAAATTTGTGTTTCCAGGAATTTTTGGAGAATTGTTTTCAATAAGTGAGCGAAAGCGGTCCAGGTCAATGCAACATAATTGAATGACGATCCTTCTTAGTGCAAACGAGGCACTACGAACTATCTTGACACTACCCCCCCCCCCAAAAGAATTAAAAAAAATACCTTTTTTAGCCAGCAGCTCGTCGTGACTGCCTGCCTCGACTATGCGACCAGCCTCTACAACCGCGATGGTATCAGCGTTCTGAACAGTGGTCAACCTATGAGCGATAACAATAGTACTTCTACCTGTACTAGCCTTCTCCAGTGCATCTTGCACCACACGCTCACTTTCACTATCCAGAGCACTCGTGGCTTCGTCGAGAAGCATCACCGCTGGATTTCTAATCAGTGCACGTGCGATTGCGATACGTTGCTTCTGACCTCCACTGAGAAGATGAAAGTAGGACACCGGCATCAATATACGATATATCTAATAGCGAGCTTCAACACAACTTCATGCAACAAAGTATGACTATAGACTTGCCACTACAGACGCCAAATTGAATTGTCAGATCAAAGCCTTGTAACATAAACAAAACAAAAAAAGTACCTGAGCTGAGAGCCACGAGATCCTACCATGGTATCATAACCATCGGGAAGTTGGCAGATAAAATTGTGAGCATTCGCATTCTTCGCGGCCGCTACGATCTCTTCTTGGCATACTTGTTTACGACGGAAGCGTGGTCCTTCACCATCCCAATCTGGCACCTGTATAGCATTAAAGCCCGAGAAGAATGAACGATTAACTGCCTGCTAGCGAAAAAAAAATGGGAACACCAGGGGCATTCGAGAGGTCCCAAACTCCACACTCAGTCAGAATAAAACAACCTCAACCTTAAGTTACGAAACACATTGAAAGTTGTCAATATCTTTGCATTGATCAACTTGCTCGAGAATGTACCTCTTCGATGGAAGCGCCCATTGCTATATTTTCAGCTATTGATTTCGCAAATAATGTAGGCATCTGGCTGACGATGCCGATCTGCGATCGCAGCCATTGTATGTTGACGTTTCGAATGTCTTCTCCGTCTATTTTGATGGACCCACCAGTAACGTCGTAGTATCTCTCTAGCAGCTGAATGCAAGTACTTTTCCCGCACCCACTGCGCATAAGTGAATATATGTAAGAGTTATAAACACAGAACTAGGTAAACATCATCAGTATTCCTTTCGATGGAGAAGATTCGGGCAAATCTAGAAAGTGACTCACAGACTAGATCAGTATACGGTCGAGGTCATTGGGGAGTTAGTGTTCACTTTCTGAAGGGTTGCGGGATTCACTGAACACAACGACGGCTTCACCCTACCCACAGACAGGGTAAAGACGTACCCTGTGAACAACCACAGAGCATCTACTGAGCTCGTTTTACGATCAAAAACGCAACGCTGCACCCAGCACGACTGCGCCATGCAAACGACATCAAAGGATCGTACCTGTGTCCAACCAGGGCTAAAGTCTTGCCGCCCTGCAAGTCAAAGTCCATGCCGTTGCAAACCTTCTCTTCCCGGCTAGCGTAGTTAAATTCAACATTGTCGAACTTAATGTTTCCATTGCAAGTCTTGGGAACGATGCCAGTGGTGCTCAGATTATTGATAGCAGGCTCACGGTCGATGATCGAGAAGATGTAATGCGCTGTACCGCGTCCAGTAGCAAACGCCTGAAGAATAACGAAACGTTAATTCATGAGATTTAAAATTGATAGAACACATCGTGATAGTACCTTATCGGAGCAATATAGAATACACTACCTCATCGATAGCCGGAGCTCAGCGGCCAAAAACTTGGGAACATACAGAAAAACAAAATTGGACGTTGCCAATCGTTGAACTTCCACACAGTCTAACTTCTAAATTGATACAGAGCTTGATATAGCGATATACTACGTCGCAATTAATAATACCATCAATCTACAATCCTACGAGTACATAAAGCTTGTAATAGGTTTGAACTTATACCGACAGGTTTGCTCAACAAGAATTTAACACGTACCGTAAGCGAGGGAGCCGCTTGGCCCAAAGCAAACGCCCCCATGATGACCGCGAAGAACACAGTCGTCACGTTACCAACTGAAAGATGCCCCTCCACCACCATCTTATTTCCAAACCAGAAGCCAAGTGCATAAGTCAGGAGCATGAAGCCCATAGTAAAAGCCAAACTCAAGCCGGAGAACATGCCCTTTTTCTTCCCACTTTGATAGGCCTCTGAATTATAAACAAATACATAAAAGGAAGTTAAGCACATATCGACGCTGAATTCGCTGACTTGGTATAACCAAATGTTATTTTAGGAAGCTCTCCTCAAAAACTTCAAATCGAGAACCAAGTACGAGCTTGTATAATTGATCAATACAAAAAATACCTTCAAGTCCCTTAGCATAGCGTTTGTATTCGTCTTCTTGTCCAGAAAATGCTGTGACAACGCGAATCATCCCAAAGGCTTCTTCAACCACTGCACCTGCTTTGGCATAGGCTGTCTGCCCTTCAGTAGCGGCATCAGTCATGACTTTGGCCATGAAAGCACCTGTTCAAGATGATGAAAATAAGCGCAGGTTCTTCGTTCAGAATCGCGAATAAAGATCCAACCAATATGTGCCTCACGTACGATACTAGAAACTACCCTGCACTCCAAAAAACAACAATGCTACAGCTAAGGAACGGGGCTTACAACCTCAACCACATGCTACTCACCAGAGATCGCGAGGACCGGTGTACAGGCCATGATGACCAGAGTCAGCTGCCAGCCGTAATAAAACCCGATCGCAAATCCAGATATGCACATCGACATGTATTGTATAAAGCTCCCCACTTTATCGCCAATCGCGCTCTCAATCTTCACTACATCTCCGGCCACCCGGGCGGTAAGTGCCCCAGAATCGACGGTGTCGAACCACGCCATCTCTTGTGAAATAATGGACTTCAAGTACTTATTACGTATGCGTCTGGCTTGACGAGAAGCAGCTAGAATAAAGAATCCCACCTGCAGATGGCGATAAGTATAACACTTAGTGCTTTTCCAATGACATGGCATGTTCATGAACGTAGTGGGACAGTCGATCGTATACACTTTCATATGAACTAGCGATAATTTCTAGCAGTATATTGTTGTAAGATTACAGAAAAACTTGATATAAATCTAGCGAATCAACGATTTCACAATTCATTATTCTAACGCGGAGTACTCTTGAAGCGCCTATTGAAGCGCCCCCGGTAAGGAGATCACACTCATGGGTCCAAAGGAGGAAAATTTTCTCACCTGAGCATACGATGTGAAAAAGGCCGCTATCCCAAAGAATATGAACTTAAAGACGGCAGGCCTCATGGCATCTTCCAAGCTAGAATTAGGATCAGTGGCTGCAAGCGAAAGAATTGAAATGTTAGTACGTAGCCAGATAACCATCCTGGCGATAGATTTACACATGTGCGTGGTGTCGTGAAACTGATTGCACGCCTACGTCATGTTCACTTTCACGATTCCACCCACAGCAGTCACAACTGGACATAAATATATGCAAAAGTCGCCTCGCCACGGCACACTATCGTTTAAACTATAGAAAAGTAAAGTGAGAGAAAAAAGCGGGAAAAAAATTACACAACATACTCAGATAAAGGCATCGAACTCTGGACAGTCCGATACATGTAGAAGCCGCCCACAAATACGAGAATGAGGGGAGAATAAATACATATGCAAACTTAAACGTGCAAAATAGAATGCTTCAACAAGGCATGCGGCTGAATTTGATGCAAGTAAAACAACCCATCAGCTAGTGATGATAGTTTAACAAATCAACAAAGAAACAAATCATGAATGAACCAAAAACCTCAGTAGCACTACTCCAGTGGAGGCTAATGTGGAGGTATAAATTCGAGTTCGCAATACAACTGTTGGTACAGAAAAAACCTGCTAATGTGTATATATTATGACATACAGTATAAAAGTTCAGAAATGTGAGTAAATATCCTCAAATAAATACACTACCCACGAAATTGACTTACGATCGTAGGCGTCAAAAGCGTCTCCAAAGAAGATGGCGATGACACTCATCAGGATACCGTGGATAGAAGAACATATGGCGGCAACAAGGATCATTAGGATATCCCATTTGTCAGCAAAACGAAACAGCTGGAGGAAGCTCTGGTAGGTTGTAAAATGTATGTCAGTCGTTCTGAAAATTCGAGAATGTACATAAAATACAAAATACCGATGTATGTACTGATAATCTCTGCTGTCGTAAGTTGGGCAATGTGTAATCTGACAAACAATCTAGTAGGTTGCAAAAACATCAGCTCCGAATTCTCATACGCTTTAAAAACTTACGGATTAATTGTATGGCAGTAGAATAACCTAGTATGCCGTATTGAATAAAATTACACCACCTTTGGAGTTCTCAGTACATACCACGGTAGGGGCGGTCTCCTCCTTCTCTTCATTTTTATCAGTGGCATCGATTATGTTGACATTGCTGTCCGCATCACCGCCTAATAGAGAGAAAGATGTACGAAAGTAACAATAAGTCACGAATCCTATGGACATCACTGTTTGCAAACTTCAGAATATGATCAATACTCAAACATATCAGGACAATTTACTAGCGAGCAGCACTCCGAAATGGCCAGTTACTATCTGCAACAGGTAAATTGCTAGTGCCGCCAGTAAGAACAGTCCGCCTCCTGAGTGGAACAACGTATAGTGGTACTTCTGTTCACCGCTATCATACCACAGGCGGTTTCGAAATTTTAGTGAGAGCAAAGCGCCTTGTCATTCATTTTCGGAAAGGACACAACATGGCATTACCCGATATGGGGCGGTGTTAATCGTACCACACAAATTTAATTACGTACCTCCAGGAACATCGTACTTGTCGGTTTTATTCTCGTCTCCTTTACTGTCGGCTTTCGAATCTATCACAGCATCTATACGGTCGTCACCGATGTCGTCGTTGTCTAAACGAACCTCTACGAGGTCAACTGCATTATCTACAGACATTCCCAACGTTGGAAACTTACTGTACTAAATATATTTACACACCAACGCAGGGGATATCACAACAGTCGCAAAATTTAATATTAAAATAGTGTTAAGGTTTGTTATCAAACGCATGATGGATTATTATCTTTATACTCCTCAATCTGGACGACTGCAGTCACTGGACGTCGTTTTGTGTGTGGTTTGCAGAGAACAAGTCGTCATAGAAAAAATCACTTATTTACTCTCGAGACTAATAAATCCACAGGGGGTCATGAGTCATCATGACTCATGAGTCCCCGTCTTCCCGAATCCCGAATCCCGAATCCCGAATCTTGAACCTCATTGTAAACGATATGGTATTTCGTTTAACGTAAACGTTAGAGACTTGATATAGTCAAAACTAAAAATGGGAAGAAAGAACACTACTATGGACAGTAATCGGACTATATCATGGAAAGGTTGCTAAATATAGCACCTCATATCCCGAATATTGCACCCACTTGATGACTTGAATGATGTAGAACCAACCCAAAATAAACGCCAACAAAATGTTCTATATTTTTCTAATTTACTACAGGAAGAACCCAGAGTGAACCCACACACACTCGTCTCACAGCCACAGACTCTTCACAGCCCAGGGCCCCAGGGCCCAGGCTTACAGCGCAAAATGAATAATGTTTGGCCAAGAGTCCACGACTCATTTTGATACATACAACACGCTTATGAGCTTTAACAGAGTGAACACAGTCAACACTCAACATTCCGTGTCCGAGACTCCGAGACTCCGAGACTCCGAGAGACCTTCCGAAACTCGTTTTTAAAAAATGAATGAAGCTTCGGAAGTGTTTTTAGAAATAGAGCTTAGAAATAAAGCATAAGAGCTCGGTAAATACGTCCGAGCCAAGACACATATATTTGTTTTTTTTTAAACAAAAACAATAGGAGCCGTAAACCAAAAAAAATGACTTTAGGAGATGGGAGATTATTACTACAGAGGTTGACCCAGAGACACCTTAAAAATCAATATCATTGGCGGATAGACAACATAATTTCTTCGTATTAACGAATAATAAACGTACGCTTAATTTCGTCTCGATCGGACTATTAGTTCAATAGTTATGAAGAATTTCATTGTGTACCAGAACTGGGTCAATCTAGCCACCAATGAGTGGAAGCTAATATAACATTTCAAAGCAAAAGCAAAAAAAACCCCCAAAAAACCCGAACATGAATCCGAACGAGGGCTTTTTTATTTTAATATTAGTCCGAAAATTCACCTTGGGACACTGTTTATAAAAACGACAGGTTCGCCCCAAAAAAAAATCCCAGCATAAATACGAACATAAATAAAAAAAGACTGGCCCTAAATTTGTCACTAATAACTTCATCAAAAAAATTGTCATCATTTGTTGCAGTAGTGATGGCTGATATTATAGATTAATACTGTACAAAAAGTATACAACTCAAACACTATCCAATAAAACAACTCTTTAAAAGATTTTTAAGCCAATGACAGTAGCTTCTCGTTTTTTCTTCTTTTTTTCCGAACAATAATATTTTTAATCATGGCCTAAATAATTTATAAATATACTATGATAGAATGTATAATTAGGGTCGGTCCTGCCCCCGAATTTGAAAATGAAATGAAATATGAAATATGAAATTTCTGAGCCCGAATTTCATTTTTAGGCATGTGGCGGCGAGACCAGTCCCAACGCTGATTTTCAGGAATGAAGTGAAATGAAATATATATAGATAATATTTCATACTGAATTTACAATACATATCCTTCATTTGTTTTTTTTTCCACAAAGCAAAATTAACGAGAATGTAATTATTTTGGCAATTGTTTTTGGGGTTTTTTTAAAACTACAATATGAAATCCAGAAAAAACCTAAGACAACCAATAGGATCACAATTTCACTCATATTTCACTTTTCATTTCATTTTTCACTACCTTCCAACTTCGCAGGTTGAAAAAAAAGTGAATGAAATTTCATTTTATTTCTAAACAATTCACTGCGTGAAAGTGAAACGAAATTCATTTATTGTGAAATTTCAGTGAAATTTCACTAAATTCGGCGGCAGGACTGACCCTTGATAATTTAGCAGGCTATGTTTCAAACTTTCAATACTTCAATTTATATAACAATATCGGATATGTAATTGCATTTCTTTAGTAAAATATGCACTCAGCAGTTGCTTTAAAATAAAATATGCCATAGCCCATATCCTTCTGTATAATTTAGAAGGCTATGCAATGTATGCCTATCCTTCTGTCTGATTTAGAGAGTTATGTATATATATATATATTTATACATATATTTTTATATATTTTTAAATATTTTTATATTATTTTTATATATT